GGAGTTACCATGTTGGACTGCATTGCCTTCTTTGGAACCCAGTGGGAGTTTTAACATTGGAAAAAGAGGAAGGCTACACCTGGGAGTATGTGTACAAAGTGTGTGTGTGTGTGTGTGTCAGTGTCATGTGAAAATAAAGGGATGATCTTACACTTACAGCAGCACGACTTGACATGACTTGAAACAATCCCTATTATTTTTCACCATTTTTACTTCCTGTGCAGTTCCTGCAGTGCAGGCTCTTTCTGGTCTGTGCACAGCAGTCATGTTCCAATCTTTGGGTTATAAGAAGTGAAGAGGAATATTTGCAGGCAGACCACAAAACATTTTTAACTACTTGGAAAGTTTTAACTGGTTTACAAACCCTTGCCATGTAAATATCAAAGACAAAGCCATTACCATTACAACAGCAAGTTTTTGTCTAGATTGAGAGACATTAAAGAGAGGAATATAATAATCAGATCACTCTGCTTAACATAGTGTTGTCATATTACTAAGTCCCTTTACTCATAAGACATAATCTTGTGATTTGCCATATGAGAACTTTGAAAAATATTTGTCTCCCCTAAAACCTATTTAAAAAAAACCCTTTAATGTACACGAACAAAAGTATTAACTATTTTAAGTAGTCATAAACGTAGTAACAAATCTAATTCACAGCCTGTGTTTGTTACCATTAAAAGACATGTTTGTGTTTGGTCAAGTGTGTGTCTGTCTCTGTGTCTGTCTCTGTGTGTTGTGTTCTTCAAGCTCAAAAATGGTCCTCATACATAATACATTTCTTGATTTGAGCTGTCATTTTCCTTTTAAAAACATTTTCCCATACTTTATGTTTCCAGGTTATTAATGTTGGAGAACAGTGTGTGTGTGAGGTTTTGTTTTTGTTTTTTCTTTGAGAAAGGACCGATTGCACATCTGGCTCCCTCGTTCAGCACCCTCGGGACCTGACTGGTCCCTAATGAGGGGATTTGCCAGACCAGAGGAGGTCCCTCCCAACATGGCCCGTGTTGTCCTGCTGCCCCCAGTTAGGGCTCCAGTATGGCGCTGCTGCTGCCTGCCTGGTCATGGCTGCCACTCGGGTCAGAGTTCTATGGCTGGGGATAGAGCACACTGGCTGCTGCTGCTAGGGCTGGTGCTACACAGCCGGGGGACTGGTGCTGCACGGCCGGGGGACTGGAGCTCTGCGGCTGGGGGACTAGAGCTCTGCAGCCAGGGGACTAGCGCTACGCGGCTGTCACTGCTGTCCCTGAGTTCCAGGGCCAGAGTTCCATGGCTGCCACAGGTGGGCCCCTGCTAGTGCCTGGCAGCAGGGGCTAGAGCTCCCTGCCATGCTGCCCACCCCTCCAAGTCCTGCCCTCTGGCTCCCGGCTGAGTCCCCACCCTCCTCACTGGACCTCCCTATACAGGCAGTCCCAGAGTTACGCGGATCCGACTTATGTCGGATCCGCACTTACGAACGGGGCTTTCTCGCCCCGGAGCTCGCAGGCAGCGGGACCGCCCAGAGCGCAGTGGTCCCGCCACCTCGACCTCCAGGGCGAGAAAAGCTTCTCCGGGTGCCCCTGGTCTGCTGGGGACCGTCTCCAGCAGACCAGGGACACGGGGAGCAAAGCCGGGGAGGCGGAGGGGTCCCGCCCGC